CACTATCACTCAGTATTAGAAGTGACATATACTTATGTTTCTTTTGATGCATGATATAATTCCTTGAATAATAATCACCTTCTCTAGAAGTTTAACACACTTACCTTTTCAGATTTCCTAATACCAATAAATACTTAGTCACATTTGAAAATGAGAATGTGAGTCATAAGAGTCTCTGCCTGGGCCTTAACAGAATTCATTAATAGTCTTCATTATACCTAGAAACTCTACCACAGCTGTGTTGTATCACCAAAACATGGGTATTTATTTAAGGAGAAATGTCCCTGAGGTTTTAATATGAGAGTGGAGACTAATATTGATGAGGAATAAGAAAAAGAACTTTGGTATTCTTTAAATCAACATCTTAAAGGAATCTTTTTATGATAACTTATATAATTAAAATTAGTTTAAAAGCAGAACATATATATATATATATATATACACATTTATAATTTTATCTGAGGATATGGAAGGGATTTACATCACATGATAAGGAATTTTGTCACTGCAGAAAAATAATAACTCAGCTTAAAAGTTGTATACTTTTAAAGTCACTAAGGAGTTTAAAATGTTCTGTTTTTCATTAAATAATCCTGACATATTTAAAAATTAAAATTAAAACTCTGATGCAATTATCACTTACATACTACATCTTATCTTTGAAATAAAATGTAAAAACGCGTCTTATAGTTGGTTGAAATAAAGTGTAAAAAGTCTTATAGTTGGCTGAGTTGTTGCCATGGTGAGCTAAGAGTCTATAGGACAGGTATCTGTGTTGATTATGCTACAAAACTCATCCAGGCAAAATATCAAAGTTATTAAGTAGATAAAGTTAAAATACAACACCAAGTATGCTTCAGAAAAATAAGAAATGAACTTACTCAAACTTAATGATTTACATAAGGGAAGTATTAAAAATGTCAAAAGAAATTGCCTTATAGTTTACTTGTGGGAGAATCAAGAATAGAAAATTTAAGAAATTAAACCTTACATAATGAGTATCAAATAAAGATGGCTGGAATTATAGCATGAGATCAATCAAATACAATTCAGACTTAGACTATTCTGAATGCTATCATTTGAGTCTCTAGACTTCTAAATACCAAGCTAGACCAACAACATAGAGTAAGTGGTTCAGTGACCTGCATGCTACTGATCCATCCCTATTTTCAAGGATGCTCTCTGTAGGCTAAGATTAGCGACACACACAGTAACTTGGAAACACAACCATGTCAATTAATTCCATTCAATAAGTCTTTCAAATTGATTCTGACTTACATATCTGTCTTTTCCAAAGCAACTTGCTCAATGGTTCATTCGCTGTCACCTCACAGTTATGCATTCTTGGTTTTTGGTTTAATTATGAATTTCTGAGCTATAATGAAGTGTCAAAGAAAAAATGATATGGAAATCTATACTCTTCCTATGAAATGAAATTAAAGGATCTAATTGTACTCATTTGTAGGATTGATCATAGAATGTCCTTTTTATGATTGTGAAATAGTGCCTGAAAATCATCTCTGTAACACGTATATTACATAGTCAAAGCCATTTACCTTTGTATTACTTCAGTTTAAGCCATAAAAAATTAGCATATTTGAAGTCAAATAATCATATAGCTTCCTAAAACTTCCATTATTTCAGTCTCTCTCTATAAAAATAATCCTCTGCAATGCAACCTTTATTCCCACTGACTGTAAATTTAATTCAGAAATCTGTAATAATGATATTAATATTTTGAAGTAAAATTTCATGCACTTATCAAAACACAGTCTTATTTAGACTCTAAATTCTGACAGGTTAATTATTGTGTGTCTCATTTGTATTCATAAAAATACAGACTTTTAATTCATAAATTCCCAGAGAAATTAATGATTTTTTTATTCAGTATCCCTCTGTCTTCCTGGAGTCTCGTTGGGATGTACGAATTACTATTATAATGATGATTATTACAAACATGAGAAAATCTATTGCTTCAGCTGGTACACAGCATGTCATGGTCTTGCCACCATCACTCTTTCTGTCTTTATCTTTTTCTCATACACCTAAACCTTATAAAAACAAAGGATTTTTGACATCCTATTCCATCCTAGTCCATTGCCTCCACCCACACTGCCCCAGAGGTTCTCACTTCTTACACCCACCTCTGCAATCTTGGGTATCCAGGACTAGTTGCTCACATTTACTTTATGCTTGTGATACACTTATCTAAATGATTGTTCATTATCCATTAATTGATACATGTGCCAACTCTTTTTTTTTCATGAGATAACTTGTGAGTTACCCAACTACATAATGGTAGTTCTGGGACTTACATCCAGTTAGTTTGCCTTAAGACCTTATCTCATGAGATATTAACACTTTGACATACTGATTTCAACTCCAGGAAACCTTAAAGGCTATTAGTACTTCTATGGGTATTTAACTGTCTTTGCCAACTTTTCTCTTCCTCTTTTACCCCTATCTCTCTGAGGTCATACTTTCACGTCTTACCTCTGCCAGTGGTAGTGATATACTACTTTGTTTCCTTTGCCAGGTGATATCCATTGAAAACTGTTTCTGACTCATCTTTTATAGCTTCTGTAGTAGTAAAATGCCATTCACATATTGAGCTCTCTATAAATATTGGTTATATGCATTTACCAGAGAAGGAATGAAAAGATAGTCCAAAATATATCACAAAAGAATTTGAAAACTTTTCAATAATATGCTTAACAAATCTGTAACTTGAAAACCATGATTACCCAACTGGGAATTTATTTCTTTACAAATTAAATTTTTTGTGTCTTTTGAACTTACAAAAACCAGAGTAATTATTTGAACATTTCAATTTCAAAATAATTCCTTCAGTTGACTGAATCTTTTGATTTTTACCAAACCACATTACAATATTCAAAATTATACTTCCAGGAATATTGGTGAATTGTGCTTACTATAAAAAATCAAATTAAAGTATAAATCATTGTTTATATAATGACTATATCAATATAAATGACTTGTTTTCTTTTCTCTGAGCTGATTCAAAAATTTTTTGCACATGTGCATATATTAGCTCGTTTATACAATATCTGTTTGGGAAGGAGGAAAGGTTAATTATGTTTTAAAAATAACAAGCTATCAGTTACTTAAAAGATATTAAAGATAAAATGATTTTAAGATATCATTTAGAGACAGTTTACTTTAATTCACTCAATTTCTTGTGTTTAAATAATGGGGAGACACTTGCTTATACGAGGCTTTTCTTTCTTTAGCCATCAGGAGATCACATTTCTCTCTCTTTCTTTTTTTTTTTTTTTTTTTTTTTTTTTTTTTTTTTTTTTTGGTTTTTCGAGACAGGGTTTCTCTGTGTAGCTTTGCGCCTTTCCTGGAACTCACTTGGTAGTCCAGGCTGGCCTCGAACTCACAGAGATCCGCCTGGCTCTGCCTCCCGAGTGCTGGGATTAAAGGCGTGCGCCACCACCGCCCGGCTCTCTCTCTTTCTTTACATGTTGGCATTGCACTTTATTTTGACAGTTGTCCAGTAGAAATTTTAATAACTATAACAAACACAACTCTTAAATATTTATAGCAACACATTAGATGTGAAATTTAAGATGTGTCTCTTATTCTTTCAAACTCAAACTTATTACCTCCATCAGCAACATTCCCATATTAAAGAACAAGGTAGTTAATGGGAGTAAATACAAATTTATGTAATTAAGAAAAAGGATTCTTGGGTAAATTCAGTTTTAGAATTGCATTTAAAAAAATCTTTTAAGTTCTGCAATTTATAAACATGTATCTCGATTGGGGGGGGTATAAAAGCTAATTACCCAAGGTACAATTTCACAGCACTCAGAGGACCAGAACACCTTTTATGAATGACTTTGGAATGGATTTTCTTAAATTCCTAAATGGTTTTTCTCTTAGTAATGTAGTGATGAAATTGTGATTGTTAAATACAGTATGGATTGTTAACAACAGAATAGCCTCCTAATGAATTATGCAGAAAATACAATCGAGCTAGAGACATCCATGGGAATGGTAGCTCTGAGGAGATAGGCGAGAGAGGAAGGAAAGGAAGGGAAGAGAGATGGGACAGACAGACAGAAAGACAGACAGACAGACAGACAGGCAGATACACACACACACACACACAAAGAGAGAGAGAGAGAGAGAGAGAGAGAGAGAGAGAGAGAGAGAGAGAGAGAGGCATGCACAGATACACACACATGCACACACACACAGAGAAAGGTGTTTTTTTTTTTTTTATGATCAGGTAGTTATTTTATTGATTCTTGGTGGCAGCAAAGGGTATATGACCAAACAAGATGCTTTTAGGTCTGCCCCTGACCTGAAGAAAACAACATTGTTTTCTGAACAGGTAGGCACTCTTTAAAGTGAGTTACTCTACAATTAGAATGACATTACATTCCTTACCTTTGTTTGTTTAACTGATGGCCTAGAACAACAGAATATTCAGAGGTGAGTATCAGAGAGGTGGCAAGCTAAATCCAAAGTAGTGCTTTCTGGAATGGTGCTCACCCCTTCTCAGACCTTTCAAAGTCTCAGATCACTTTCCCCTTTGGTCATATCACTGTTGTATCGGTGCACCTTGATCATACTGCCCAGAGATAACCAGATAACTACCCCTGCCTGCTCTTGGTACAATAAAATGATGTAACATTTCCAGTAAAAGACATAAACGACAAGTGAGTTTGCCCTTGGCAAGTGTGACCCTGTAATGATTAACACTGGTCAGTCTTTTGCAGAATCAGCCAGTGGAGACTGACCCTCCCCTCAAGTTTAAAGCCAACCATTCATTTGGGTCTTAAGCCCAGGTAAGAGGAAAAAAGCTTCCCCCAATACATAAAAGGACAATATAAAGCAGCCCAGCCTGTCAATGCGAACCTACAGGCAGAGGAGAATTATAATTTTGTTTCCCCAGGAGACAGTGACTAAGGCACGCACACTGATCATCCCGAAAAGAGGTAAAGAGAGAGTGAAATGGCTCAACGTACACACACCCCGCTCCATACCGGGGACGAGTCTCCGAGCTGCGGTGTGTGCTCTCGGAGGGCCAGGCTGAAGCTGACTGCCCCCACAGCCACGCTGGACACCCCGAGCCCTATCTCCAGCACAGAGAGCACCAAGAGGCTCCCAATAATCTGGCTGCTGGTGCACATCCTCCTTGGGTCATCATTCCTTCCAGCTCAGAGAAGGAAGCCAATCATCCACCTTCTTTCTTCCAAAGTCCTCCTTAGCCCCTTCCACCCCCTACCACAGTCCAAATCCTCAAACTTTTCTCTCTTCACCAACAAAACATTATCCAAAAGGTCTGGATTTCCAGAACCAGAGAACCATTTCCGTGGCCAGGCCAGAGGAGAAAGGGCTGCTTCAGCCCCTGGCGCGTTCACACAGGAACCGCCGGCGGTGGGTGGGAGTCCAGAAGCCAGCACTGGGGAGCCGGGTACTGAAGAGCAGACTGGATGTGAGCCCTAGTAGCTTCAAGGCGCTGTCCAGAGTTCTGCCGCGTCTGGGTTCTGCGCTCCCAGGAGCTTCCTGCACCTCTCAGGCTCCCTCCTCTTTCCCAGTGGAGGAACAGAGCTTGGCTTCCTAGAGATAAAGGGGGACTGCTCACAACCCCTCTCCGCCAGTCCTCTTGCCTCCCCTCCTTTGTTTTCCTGGCATCGCAAAGTGCTTCTGTGAATCCCTAGGTCTCCAGGCAGAGCAGGTGAATGGTGCTCAGCACCACATTTCTTGCACTTGCTGTATCGCCAGAAAACGCGACCTTGTCTGATGGCCTCTTTCCGTCTGGGTTTTTTTCTCCGTCGTCGTCCTCTTCCTCCCCCTCTCTCTTGATCTGATTCTCTCTCATCGCTATGACCTCATTGGGGCTTAGGAGGCTGACGGAGGAGGGAAAATCCTGATGTATTTGTGGGTCTTGGACCAATACTCTTGGCTGACCCCTTATTTGCCCCGCCCCTGGACCTAACCCCAGGATCCCAAATTCTCTACCTCTGCATCTCCCCTACTCTGTCCCTCCTGGGCTTCTACCCATCCAGGAGGAGTGGCTATGCCTGATGCCTATGTCAATGTGGGCTCATTCTATGCAAAACTTTCCCCACATGTACTTTTCTCTGCCTGGGAAACAAAGAGCAAAGGAAGGCCGAGTGCACCAGAGTGGAGAGAAACCAGACCCCTGATTACACAAAAATTCCAGGGGACCCTTATTGAAAAACTCCTCTGTCTCGGTGAGCCCAGGCTGGAGCTTCTTCATTAAGAGAGAGGGTCCACTCTCTCCATCACTTCCTGGCACCGTTTTATCCTGGGGGGAAGAAGCAGTCAGCTAGAGCCACACTTCCTTCGCCAGCCATGTGCCCACACATCCAGAGATACATAGTCAGACCCAGCAAGATAGAGAACCTGTGTTCTTATCTCGAAAAGATAAAAACTGAAAAGTCAAGATATGTATACTTAAGCAGTACACCAAAACAAGCATTACTTATAAATGAAGAAAATGTTTGATATAGTACATACCTGGTTTTGGCCATGTTCAATTTCTCTGAATCATTATAGCAGGGGCTCAAGCATGGCTTGTGCAATTTTGTTGCTTTCTCTGATGCCTTTTGGGAGCCTAGACATAGGGAAATTGCTATGCATGAATCAGTTTTATATTCTCTGATTTTGCCCCAGGAAAAATCTCAAGGTGTTGCATCAAAGATATTCAGAATGGGGAGGGTTCTGAGGTATGGATCCATCAATCATCTTTCTAAAAAACTGGTTCTTAAGTTAGAGATGAGTTGAAGGAAAATGTAGACAAAGGGGGTCCAGTTATAACCCACAATTTGAGGGCATCTTGGCTTCTTCCAAACATGCCTCATATTCTTTTTTTCAAGCTCAATGTTGAGGAAACAGAAGCCCTAATTCTGGAGAAGTGTCAGTTTCACCTTTAAACGTTTCATTCAGGACTTGCTTCATAGCTTAACTTCTACATTCTCATTTATGATATGTTTACTCTACGAGTTTTTAAAATTGAGTCACGTGCCTCAAAATTAACAAAAAATCAAAGAAGAAGGATTACAAGTTATTAAACATTAAGAAATATAGCTATTTTAATACTTAGAGCACAACTTACATATTTATGTTGACTGATAATTAGTGAAGTCATGTTCCTTTCCACTTCTCAAAACATTTCCACTCAGATGGCCAGTTGCCAGAATTTCTCAAGTAGTTTATGGATTTAAAATAGCAACATTTGCCGGGCGGTGGTGGCGCACGCCTTTGATCCCAGCACTCGGGAGGCAGAGCCAGGCGGATCTCTGTGAGTTCGAGGCCAGCCTGGGCTACCAAGTGAGTTCCAGGAAAGGCGCAAGGCTACACAGAGAAACCCTGTCTCGAAAAAAAAAAAAAAGAAACATGGAAATGGAAATACAGCTAAGAAGCTAATACCAAATAGTAAAACTCTAAAAAGTATTTGAAATTCAAACAAAATGCAGGAAAAGTGCAAAAGAAAATATATAGACAAGTAGGAACCAAGAAATCAAATAATGTGTTTGTTGCATATGTGCACAGTGCTTGTATGGTGGTGCATAGTGCCTGTGTGATGGTATGTGGGTGCCAGAGGTCAACATTCAATGTCTTTCTCTAAAGCTCCACATCTTGGGGTTTTTCTGTTGCTTTTTGTTTTTTGTTTTGTTTTAGGGTTTCTCACTGAACCTGGAGCTTGTCATTTCAGTTAGACAGGGTGGACAGTGAGTCCACTGGCTCTGTCTGTCTCCACTTGCCATGCTTCTCCCTGTGCCAGGGATGCAGCTATGCACTGACATACCTAGGCTTGATGTGTGTGCTGGAGATCTGAGCTACCTCCTTAGTCCTGGACATACAATGATATAAATAACTGCATTAAATATATTTAAATGATGAAATAAACATTACAAATAACCAGCAGAAATCATCAGAAAGAATAAACAGGGAAAAAGACTCAATTATATGTTTTGTGAAGAATACACACTTAAATATAAATTTAACTATGTTAAAAGTGAATGGAAGAGAAACAATGATTATGTTATCAATAGATAACATATAATTAAAAACCAAATTATTACTAGAGACAGACATAGATAAGAGATAAAAGATTAGCTCACCAGGTAGATGGCAGCTGCTTCCTCTTGACCCATCCTTGCAATGATTTCTGCCTTTTAGAATTAAAATCCTGTATAGTGCCCTCCCAGTCAGTGTGGACTGGCCATCTTGATGGACTTCTAATAGAGCAGGGCAAAGTTATGGGATTTCCTTTCATGGGTAGGTTGCTGATTTCTATCTTATGGCTGCTTCTCTGCTCTTCTCTGTTTGCATGACTTCTAAAAGTATGCTTTTATGATGTAAGGTCCACAAGAACAGGAATTGAGGGTGGGTTCAAACCAAAGAATTAGCACCATTAATCCAACAATGAATGAAGGGTTGATCTTGGTAACAATCACTTGATCAGCACACGGGAACCTATTTTGGCTGCAATGCCCATCAATCTATCAGATACACTGATTCCAAAGGAAGAATCATGTGTTCTGCTCCTATGTTCCTGATATTCATATTCCTGGATAACAAATATTGTTTAACAAACCTTTCCCTTCTGCCATAGTAGTTTATAGAATAGCAAACAAATAAAGTATAAGTCATGAACACTCACAGGGGAGCCTCAATAGCCAGATGTCTAATGTGAACATTCCTAATAACAGAACTTCAAGCATGTGAGGGAAAAGTTACAGAATTAAAAACAGAAATGTAGGTCAGAGATGGTGATGCATGCCTTTAATCAACCAGCATTTAGAAGGCAGAAGCAGGTGGATCTCTGTAAGTTCAAGGCTAACCTGGTCTACAAAGTGAGTTCCAGGACAGCCAAGGCTGTTACACAGAGAAACCCTGTCTCAAAACAAACAAACAAAAAAAGAGATGTAAAAGTGTATAGTTGTGGTGATATATTGTGTACCCTAATAAACTTATGAGGATCAGAGGACAGAACCAGCCACTAGATTAGACATAGAGGCCAGACAGTGGTGGCCTATCACTCTGGAGCCAGAGATCCATCTGGATCCCTGTGAGTTCAAGGCTATACTAGAAACAGAGCAAGCAGTGGTGGCATACACCTTTAATCCCATTACTGGGAGGCATACAAGCCTTTAATCCTAGGAAGTGACAGCAGGGTGGAGAAAAGTATATAAAGTGTGAGAAAACAGGAATTAAAGCAGTTCTGCTGAGATCCTTTCAGGTGAGGACTCAGAGGCTCTCAGTTTGAGGAAACAGGATTAGCTGAGGAGTTGGCAAGGTGAGGTCAGCTGTGGTTTGCTCTGCTTCTCTGATCTTTCAGCTTTCACCCCAATATCTGGCTCCCGGTTTTTTTTTTTTTTTATTAATAAGACCATTTAAGATTTGAACAACATATAGTTGCATTTGGTGATTTTGAAAGTCAATAGATGAGCAAATGGGAAAAATAATCAAAGACATAGGAGACCTGAACACATTATCAAGCAAATGTTAGTAGTCTGTTTAACCAGCACTCTATTTCTGCATTTTCTATCTTAATGAGAATCAAACATCTGTCTATAGAGACTCATTGAAATGCTGAGATTTGCACAAATATTGTGGCCAGAAAAAGATAGTTTTCACATCCTTTTAAGATTTCTGATACTCCCATGACCAAATTTGTGTTTAAATATGTAACAATTATTTCTATTATGTACTTTTGATAACTGAGCAATCATTTACATACCCATTTAAAAGTAAGAGAAAATGATGAGAATAAGCTATTAAGTTACATTAACCAAAGTGAAAAGTCCCAGTGGCTTATGGGACTCTCATCTTTCTTTTCTGGCCAAGAGTTGAATGGGTTTTCTCCTCCATGTTCTCCCCTCCCTTCTCTGCTGCCTCATCACAAGCCTCAAAACATCAAGGCCTAGGGATCAGTACTTGAAATTCCTAAAATTCTGAGCCAAACATCCTTTTCTCTTTTTAAGTTGTTTACTCAGCTATTTGTTACAGTGGCAGGAAGCATTGGCATTCTGGGTTTTTCCAAGGTATTTACAAGCATTTGCTCAGGAAGTTTGTAAGTTCATGCCATCTTAAAATTAAATAGTAAGTGAAAGGAGCACTGACAGAGTAAGATATGCATGTCAGTCTCTGGATACATGGGTGACCCCTGGCCAGATACTTTGTTGGAGCTATAACTAAATAGACAACTGTCTCTTGAAACCAAAATTCTGAATATAACTGTAAATCATGTGTTGAGTAGTAAGTAAATGAATAGAAACTGTTAAACATCTTCTTATGAACAACTGATCTCCATCTGTAAAAGTTTCCGCTATTTAAGTAATACAAAGCTGGGGCCATTAGGGGTGCCTTTTGAATCCAAACTATAGCAATTACAATAACATTTTTTCCTAGACATTATTCATTAGGCCTTTATTCATTTTGAATCTAATTACAACAAATCAACATAATTATTTTCCTTGTTTATTTTACTGAGTCATTTAAAGACATAAAGAAAAAGAAGGATTATAACAAAAAATGAAGCATTTATGACAGTTTTCTTTTTCATACATTAGTAGCTAAATAAGAAGGAAAACAATTTCTCACAAATTTTCACAGTGTAACGAACAGGTAGTTTTTATATCTTAAAAATAATAACAAATGGAGTTAAAATGCTTTAAAATTCTAGACTAGACAGTAAAATGAACACTACGATCAATTATTACTCCCAGTGCACCAGAAATATTTATTCTAAGATGGCAATTAGCATCATTAGGAAGAAATGAAATAGCAATTCTTACAAATACTTTGAGGATAAATGGGCATATTTTAAAATATATTTAGCAATAATATTACCTAAACTGTCATTATTTGAGTTAATAATCCAACTTTTGAGTTTCCTCTCTAGTTGATGATATAAAACTTTTCCATACAGGAATATTCATTACATTATTATTCTTAGGAGAAAATTAAAATGGGATAATGGTGAAATAATAGCAATGAAGCTG